TTACTGGATATACAAAAGAGCTCTGTTAAGGTTTTGAAGGACTTTATTAGAAGTGACAAACTTTACTTATTGGATATACAGAAGAAATCTGCTAAGGTACTGAAAGATTTTTGGCTTGACACAGTTGAACAGAGAACTAGCCCTGAGATTCTTTTTGAAGGGGTTAAAAGATATTTTTTAAAACTCAGGGAAGGAAATAAGGTTGGCCTATTCAACCAGGGCTAAAGGAGAAAAATAATTACATCAGGTTGCCCTTACTGGACTTTTGCTGATAAAGAACAACTGACATAGCATTTGGATTTTTTTTTTTTAATTCAATAGATGAGATATGGGGTGAAAAGAAATTATGCTGTATTTAGAGAGAGTGATAAGCTATTGTCTTTACTTGCTGGGATAAAGGGGGAAGTTACTTCTTTTTTCTTTTTCTTTTTCTATTTTCCTTTTTTTTCCACACTTTTTTCTTTTCTTTTGTATTTTTCTGTTTCTTTGTTTTGTAGCCTGTATTGGCTTTTATTCTTTTCATTTTTAATTCTTAATAAAATTATTTGGGAAAATAAAGTAATGCTAGACTGAATACCTTGGTGCGGTTGTATATTTTTTTAAAAAATGGAAGGATTACATCTTGTTACATTTGCAGGTTGGAAATTATCTGAATGAAGATAACCTGATCATCAGTTAAAATTCTTATGACTAAAGTGGGTTGTGATGGACAAGTTCTATTATGAATCAAGTGTACAGCTATAATTCACTTACTTGCATTTTAACCACTGCAAAACTAAATGATACATGACATCGATAGCTTGCTGCTTTGGCTCAGATGAGACTTCAGTGTTAGTCATGAAAAAGTAATATAGATGCTGACATAACACCTCAAAAACTTAGAAATAGTGGATAGGACAGAAAGGTGGCCCAACAGTAAATGGAGCATTGAACATTTTATGCCAATCCGTAAATTTTGGTAACCTTTTTTTCTGAAATAATTACTCAAGTATATAGAATTGTTACTACTCTTGAGCTTTGTAACACACCTGAACTAAAAATGGCTACAACAAGCATAACAAAATAATACTTTGAATGCTAAGAAAAATCAAACTTCACCTTGTTCTGTAAAATCTAGACAACCTGATATAACACTACTTTTAATTAATTCATCTAAATAATTAAATTAACTCATTAATTTCTTCATAGGATCACTCAAACTCCTCTTCAGAGAAAGTTTCAATTAGCCTTATCTCTGCAATATCATCCCTATGTTTTGTTGTTTTGGACATTAACATTTTCATTTCATTTTCATTTATTGTTGTATATAAATTGTTTTTATAGATATAATAAATGTTTAGTCCTCCACTGATAGAATGATAAAGGAATCAAAGAGGACAATAAAATAAAGAGGAAATATGAAATCTGTTTTCTAAATAAGAAATACGATTGTTATGGGAAATAAATATACAGAAACTATCAGGACACATAAGTTGGAAGAAAGCTTGATGGAAGTTTTGGGGCTTCTCCTTTTTGTGCTTATGTCAGTGCCTTTATATGGAAGACAATGAATTCTTCTAGTATGGAAGCAGCATGCGTTTGTCAGTCACCAATGTTGTTACAGTGTGTGCCTCCAATTATCTTGGAGGGAAAAATTCACTTTATACGCAACACATTTGCTGCCTGAAGAGCCCAACGGGCATTCTCTTCCATCTCTATTCTTATTAGGCCAACAGTTTAAAAAGTCTCACTATGGTGAATAGGCACCAATTCTACTACTGTTGCTGGTGGCTCTGGCCTTTTGGTGACAAAAGTGAGGCGAGGAGGAGGAAGGAGGCACCTTCTCTCAAGCAAAAATTCAAGAGAAAGGAGACAAGAGACAAGTGCTACCTATCCCAGGCTTCCTCTCCCACCTCCCATGTGCCACTGGTCTTCATCCCCTGCCAAGGACAACCCTGGCACAAAAGGAACCATTTTCATCCATTCTAAAAACTTTCTTGCAGCCATTTTAATCCTCCATCATTCCAATCCCAGAAACTTCTAGATGCTTACCAAACTTTCAGTGCATTTTTCTTGCCTTCTCCTCCTTCAGTCACTCTCTAGTTCATCCTTTTTGCCCAAGAAACAATACCCTGTCAATTCATCCCTGGGGCTCATTTGTGTATCTATGGGAATGTTGACCAAAGACCCACTTTCCCCAAGGTCAGTATTCCAGTTACTGAACCACAGAAATTGTGTGCAGTATCATGAAGAATGCAAATGAAATTCATAGTATGCTAGCAAAGAACACTAGCAAAAAATCTAAGAAGCATTCTGCCTCTTTGTCTCCCGTGATAAACATGTTAGAAATCTAGCTATAGAAAAGATTGAGAAACTGCTTTACTGTACATAGAACACCAGACAAGGAAGAAAATATTTGAATAACATAGTGCTTAAGAATAAAGCTCTAAACATGTATGAGCACATTGGTCAGTGTATTTGGGTCACAGAATCTGACACAAAACCACAACTCCATTTTTTTCTACTGGCTTAAGGTCTTGCTTTATACAGATTTGCTTTATGCGGGGTTTTCAGAGAATGTAAACCTAGCATAAAGCAAGGGAAGTGTGTACTTTCCAAGGACTCATATATAGGTAATTCATGATTCCCTTATCCATATTCCTTTTAGTTACAAATGTCTGCCATTGTGCTTGCTATTAATCTATGGCCTTCCTTAAAACCTGTAGTGACTTGGAATAACTGGCAGGCCACATAGAAGTAAGGGGAGGCTACCACCCAGTACGTTTGTGGCAAAATTGAGATTCTCCATTTGGGAATTTTCTGTCCATTATGGTCCATTATGGTCCTCTGGCATCTAATGCCATATTGGAAATTTGTAGTGCACTTTGTTATTTCAGATTTCTATTTCTTATAAGCTTCTAACACTGATACATTACAATATTAATATGTATTTTAACTGTGACTCTAGAATATCTTAATTTTAGTTCTGACAAAAGATTGATACAAGCTTTGAAAAAAAATACCAATACCTTTAACTTAAATGTTATACTTCACTTTACATCAGGTGCTGATCTTCCTTACAATGGTCAAGTAATAGGAAGTGGTGTTAACAGGAATTCAGCAATTATTGGAGGTAAGGAAGCAGTATATATCTCTTTTGGGATGAGGGTTACCAATTTTTGAACTGGCAAATACAGTACATTCAGTTAGTGTAATATAAGTTTCGATACAAGTACTAGTTACCTAAGGCCATCAAATTATTTTGGAACCTTTCTTCACCTCTTTGGGTGATCAAAATATGCAAACCTTCTTTTCATAATATTCAAATATTGTTTAGTGATTAAGATGCTGGACTAGGATTAGGAAGGTCCAGATTTAAATACATCATGAACCATGTAAGTTCACTTGGTGACTTTTGGCTAGTCACTATCAGCTCAATCTCATCTACCTTCCTATTGAGGAGAGTCCCCTCATGTAACTCAGAATTCCCCTTCTGAGTTTCTGAAGGACGTTCCTTGGGGTTAACTGAGAGATAAAAAATTAAATAGTATTATAATGAACTCATTTTGATTACTAAGCAAAACAGAGATAAGAAGAGAATGTGTATCCTTGTTCCTCAAAAGAATGGAGCGCCACTTATGGATTATCTTCATGGTCAGTTTTTGATAGCTTGTCTCAAGTTGGAATCTTTCTGCAAAGTATGTTCAGCAATAAACCAGTTTCAACCAATAATCAAGTCTCAGATTCAATAAAGTCCTTTATCTTTTCATTTGTTGCATTGAACAAATTTATCTTCATGCTTAAAGAGAGAATAAACAGAGAATGAGAGAACAGAAAATAGGTCAAAAGCCAGAGATAATTTCCATTCGTGATGTGTAAAACTAACTTGGGAACAAAACAGTCCAGAAAATTATTTGTCCAGACAAAGAAATGTCAACAACTGAAATCAATTAAAGAAAAAATGGAGTATTTAGTTCAAGAAGAAGGCATATTGAGAAAAAGTATTGTCTTGCTTTTTTCTAATGTACAATTTGTAGTTCCAAGTTAAGAATAATATAATCTAGTTTAGGATGGGAATTGTATCCTGTTCTTCCATCTGTGTAGTGGTTATTTAACATCCCTTTATTAAATCCCACCACTTGATAGTATCCATTTTCCCATATAAAAGCTTCTGGTAGAGTAGGTTAAGCTTCTTATAATAATAGTTGTGCAGGCATACAGACACAACCTTCCTACCTCATCAGAGATTCCTCTGTCTACTCTCTGTGGTTATAGTCTTGCTCATTAATCGCCACATTCTCTTTCTTTTCTGTCTCTACCCCCACACATACACAGACATACACATGTACGCATGCAACTTAAAGTGCATGGATATTACCATCACAACTTCATCAAGAGGCCTTTCAGGATGAGGTAAGGTGACTGTGGAGACTTGCCTGTATGTGAGATAGCAAAGTGGTTGCAATGATGAAACACAATCTCCATTGTACCTTTCCCATAATGCCTCATTCTGAAAAAGAACTGCTCAGAACAAGGTATTGGGCCTATTGGTTTCCTATTGTGGTGGCTGCTAATGGGACTTTCCAGTACCTCAGCATGACAAATTTGAGAGCCAGGTGGTGGGCAGTCAGAAGTATTAGCAAACAAAGTCATTGTATCCAGCATAACCCATCATCTCTCCTAGTTTGCAGGAAGGTGGCTGATATGAATAGAACAGGATTGACTCATATCAGAATATTGCATTTAACCGTACATAATTCTCTCAGTGTGTGTGAAAGAATGAGGTTATTAAATATACATATGAACCACAAATTCATACAAATTTTGTCTAGTTGCCAGTTGAGATAGATTAATTTTGTTAATAGAACTAACATTGGTGAGATTTTTTCTTGCTAAATAAGAATGATTTCATAAGACAGCCTGACAATATAAATATGTCTTTAGCAATGTCAAATTTAGCAGAAATGTTTGAAAAATAACTGCATGTTTGTCTAATTACAAGATCTTATTGAATGAAGATTTCTTTTCCTCCCCCCTTATTTTTAATTTGTTAAACTCTCACATCTCTCTTAGGTATTATTGCTGTTGTGATCTTCACCATTCTCTGCACCCTGGTGTTCCTCATTCGATACATGTTCCGCCACAAGGGAACCTACCACACCAATGAAGCCAAGGGGGCAGAGTCTGCGGAGAGTGCAGATGCCGCTATTATGAACAATGATCCCAATTTTACAGAAACCATTGATGAGAGCAAAAAAGAGTGGCTTATCTAAAATGGGACGGGAGGAGGAAACAGCAGGGGTTGGGGCGGGATTGGGGAACATTTTTTTCAACAAGAAGAGAGCTCTCTAATGGACTCTTGAGCACATCTAGTTTTAAAAAGGAGGAGATCAGCACAACTCAAGGAGCAAGTGACAGACAAACATTGAGACTGCAAACCCAACATACAGAAAAGAATATTGGCTTATCATGAATTGCCCCTTTTTGTATACATCTAAACCAAGAAAATAATCTAAGCGGTTCAGTAATTTAAGCAGTTCATCATTGATTCATACTTGTCAGTAATTACTATTGTCTTTATCTGTGGTTAGAGGTGTTCAAAAATACCTGTCACTACAGGGGCCGCTTTTCTATTTTTTTTTTAATCCCTTTAGATTGTAAATATTTCTCTCCAGACAACAGGATATCTGTCTCTAAAGCCTAGGAACATTCTTCTCTAGCCTTTTAGCATCATGTTCTAAAAAGGGTGTAATAATAGCTGGACCATACTCACATTGTCATTTTACTTGATTTGAACGTTCAGCTTAAAGGTATCAGACTGCAGGACTGGTTTCAAATGGCTTTACAGTCATTCCCCCTCTCCGGCACATTCTCAGAATTCTCTGTAATTGTTTGAAAAGGCCAGGGATCCTGAAGGGTATCTTCTTTTCTTGGTGTAAACAGGTTATTCACCTCTGTTGTTTGAAACCACATAAGAGGAGCTCATATTAGCCTTTCTTCAGTTTGTGGGAATGAGAATTTCCTCCTGCAGAATCTTCAACATTACTGAATTGCAAATTTCACAGGAAACAGCCACATTTCAGTGGCTGTCAATCTGTTGGAGGGGCTCTCACAAAATTCTTCTCTTTGGGAGAAGCCATAACTATGAAACTAGCTTAAAAACCCATTTGTAATGAGTACTCGCTCAGAGAGCAAGAAATCCAGGCTGTAAGACATGCCTGAGATAAAGCCAGATTTGCCTGTTTTTAATAGCCCATTAATTTGTTAGCATTTTGAAATCTCTGTCTGATTTGGGCACATGATAATATTGTGAAGTTATCAGTAATGTAAACACGCTGTTATTTTCATTCTTGTTATTGTCAAGAGAGGCACACCTTAATGCACAGGAAGCCTTCTTTATTTTCTTGCTGTAGCTCTATTACAACTCTTCTGACCTGAGGTCACCACGTGACATTTGTTCCACTTGTGACATAACTGATTTATGCTGTATGTACGTAGACACATACTAAGGAATTAGAATCAGATTTACATGTTCATTTACAATGGATTCTCATATATTTAGAATATTGTAGGCATATTACCATTTAGCAAACAAATTTAATACACAAAACATGCTCTTTTTTTCCTCTTGAAATCTCCCCTGAAACCTTGTTTTGAAATAGATTTGTGAAAAAAGTATTCTCTTTAGTTGAAAGGCAAAAATGAAAAGACTGAAGAATCCTGTGCACAGAGAAAGCTCAGAATTACACATTCCGAAGCATGACTTTTCTTTATAGGCAGGTTTGCTGAATCTATCTTATTTTTTTGCAGTTTGAGTATAGATAAGCCCATAAATAAGGCTTCAGGGATAAGAGTCACATAGCTGAATTGAAATGTACACATCCCTAAGAGAGCTCTGGAACCAATTTTCACACATCACGTGCATCTATGTCTTAGCAGATATAGCTATGTGAAAGAATTGACCCAGATCTAATATTGTGGTATAAGCTTTCTTATGAATTGAATCTGCACTGGAACAGTTTGGCTTGTCAAATTATGACAGAGGAGATTATTTCTACGCAACAAATTTTAATCAGTTTCTCATTGATTTAATCATCAAAACGTTCCCCATCAAATAAAGAATTGTAATTCTGCAAAGGCAAGTTCATTGTCATTGGTCTTATCACTGAACTGCAACTTCTTGGGTTTCTTGGTGGCGTTTCATAGCTGTTAAAACGGGTATGAATCTGGTTAAAAGTGATGGCAGATTTTTTTTTTTTCATTTCCCATTGTTGATCAAGAAGGTCCTTTACTAGCAAAGTCTTTGTAGAGTTGTACATTGCACCCAGTGAAGATAATACAATTGTATAGTCTCTTGGTTTTCATGTATTTTAAGAAAATGAATTGTAATAAGGTTCATGCATATGATGGCTGTGAATCCATGTAATACATCTGCTCACTATTTTGGTATGCATAGCTTTGAAACATTTCTATATCAGTTTCTTGAGAAAGATTGGTAATCCAAAATAACTGTAGTCCAGCATACTAAAGAATCCTATTCTCTTTTAGCTGAGTCTTCAGTTTTTTTCTGGGTTGTAGAGGAGATGGGGGTGAAATTACGTCCATATTTCAACAGTCTTGCAAATTGGAGGGGTTAGAAATGTTACATGAGCCTGTAGGTCTGTCTACCTGTCTGCCTCCTTCCATCCAGTGAATGAGGGATGTTCCCCAATTTTAGAAAGCCATCAGTGCCTTTGTGAGAGTAGCAGCCATTATGCCAGCTCCCTTCATTCTTTTAGCATTCCACTAACCAGCATGCCTCCCACAAAGCAAAGACTACCATGTTAAGGATGGATGTGAAGAACAATCAGCAAATATGTTTCATGTACATTCTTACAATTTGATGGATGTTTAATTATTGGTGTTTAATGACTTTTCTAATATTTCTTTTCTATTTTTCTGAGACTTTTAAAGTCTTTATCATAAGTGAAGGTTTGTTTCTTTGTTACATTAACTCTTTATCAAGCATTCCTCTTCAACAAAAGAAGAAGGCTAATGAAGTTATTGCAGTGTGTTATAATAACCCTCAGTCCATAAGTCACCATATCAGTACAAAACCCCTTCTCATAATAGGGGGCCACAATAATGAAACTTCATTACTTCATTACATAGAAACGTACATTACATTACATACAAAAAAACATCATTACATAGGCATGCAGAATAAAAAGAAAGGTCTTAAGGCTCATGACGATGATAGCGATGCTGATAGCCATAACTGCATAGTGGATATACCAGATGGAGATCAGTTTTATGGGAAACTATCAACATCTGGACAATAATTTTCAGCAACTCTAACAAAATTACCAAAAGTCAGATTATGGGAATTGTAGTCCAACAGCATATCAAACATTCCCATCCCTGAGCTAGAGTAAACATGTTAAATTCCACAATCCTGTAATTTCTAAATTCTTATTTGGGCAATAATTTTAGTATTTTATACTGAAGTAAAAGGAGAATCACTGTTGTGGTGATGTGGCCAACCCTTCCTTTCCATGGTTTATGCTAATGTTCCAGCAATACATTATGTCTAATTCCCTACTGGACGAGCAAGTGACCAAATTATGTAACTAGACCCATCACATATATACAACCAAAGGTTACAGATAGCATTACTGCTGTGATCAGTGTTTTTCCATTATTTCCCCATACATGATATTCTCATAGGGCCTCTAGCTCTAAAAATTGTCTGTTAGAAACTGACTATTGTACTATTAAGTTACTATAAAGTAAAAGTAAAAAGTAAAGTTACTAAAACGTAAAAAGTACTGTAATGAACTTCAGGTACTGAATAGAGAGTCAGACTTGGAATGGGAACATCTAAGATCTACTGATATGCCGTGAAACTCATTGGGTAACTTTAGGTTTAGTTGATGTTCCTGTCAGGATCAAAAGCAATCACAGCTGTTGGTACCATATTTCAGTGCAACAGTGGATCAGAGAGGTTCCAATGATGCCTCTGTGGGATGACATCATTTCTGATGCACCTGAGCTGCTACGCTTTACCATAGCACATGGATGGGTGCTGGTAACTACAGAGAATTATCTCTCATCCACTGACATTCTTGCCTACTCACTGGCACCATTCCCACCTTTAACAATATGATGTGATGGACAACCCATTTATGTGATCTTTTAAGACACACAGTGTGTCTTCTGCACATATTTGTTTATCTTCAGAAAATTCCAACTGCTTCTGGCATGGCTATAACACATTTAGGTGACTAATCTTGTTTTGTTTTGTTTAAGTAGGCACAGTGAGGAAAACATAGGTGATGAGTAGATTGAAACAAATTCCTCCATTTCTGTAAAGCAGTCCATGTTGATTTAGCTGTGAATAGGAGATTGACCCAGCTCTGATGGGTTTTCTATCCCTCATTTTAATTCTGTATCTTAAAAAGGGACTGCTATTATTTTTATAGCTAAATTATAAATTCTAACCAGCTGCCATTAAAACAGAAACAGCACATTCTAATCTAAATATACATTCACAGTATGTCACTACATATGCTCTTTATACTGTTTCTATCATATCCCAATGCACAATGCATTTAACCTCAATACTTTCAATGTTTATCAGCATTGTCCAGCTGACAGCAAAAGGGTCACCATCTTAGATTAATTAATAATCCTTGCAGATATAGCACATTGCAGGTTATATTGTCATAAATCATAATAAGGATTTTTTAAATAAACTCTTAGGAGTTAAAAAGCTTAACATGCATATTAAAGTTGGCAGTAATTACCTTTAGGTAAGAAGAAATAGGAATTGCTAGATACATATGTCAGTTTGATGACATGGTGATAAGCCTCACTGAAGTTAATGGACTTTATTGCCAACTTTAATATCCCTGATCAGGTAATTAGTCATCTATTTTCACTGATACCCATTATTATTTCTGCCCCATATTTCATGACTTGTAGGTCATGACATTGTAGCCATGGCCATTGAAGAGTAATGGCAATTAACATCCATTGAAATTAGTGAAATTTGCGAGTGAAATAAGGTAAACAGCCTAACAGTGCAATCCTGGATCTGTGTGTTCAGGTGAATTGAATAAAGCTGACTTCCAGGATTGCAGTTTTAGAATAGCAGATTTGAGCACACATCATCTGGCCTGAGAAAAAATACCTTGAACTATGATTTTCAGCATTTTTAAGAGGTCATTATTGATTTATTCAGTAATTTAGGCAATAGTGAGTTGAAAGGGGCATCTATTAATAGGTGAGTTTCTTCATGGTAGATATT